GTCAAGTAACTTCTTTGAGTCAAAGCTGGCTTAACTAAAAAATAATAACTAAAAAATAATGACTATCTTCTCAGACAGTCTCACTCAAAGACTAGCTTGAGGTCAAATAAAATCATGTACATAAAAGCAGTTTAAAAACTATGTGTTGTAGTAAAATGTAAGGTGTATGGTATTTATTCTTCATGTTAAATTCCTGAACTATAGTAAAATTCTGTAAATAAGACATATACATATTTCCCAATGTCAGAAAGTAAAATTTTTTTCCTCTTTGAGAAATAAAAAACCCTTGGGAGAATCCACAAGAAAAAAAACAGTTTAGAGAGTTTTTCAAATGGCTTTAAGAAAGCTTAGTACTGTGACAATTCTGAAATACATCAATGCAAATTGTGCATCATTTAAGAAAGGGACAAGCCATAGAAATGTGACTCATCTTTGTCATCAATCTCATGGGGAAAATTAAGAAAAAGAGGGAAAGAATATTATAAAACTAAAGAATTATTTCAAATCAACATAGAATCTTGCTATCAATTCAAAATAAGGAAATCTAATGACAGTCACTCATTTTCCTAAAAATAATCAAAAGTCAAATAGTATTTAATGTATTTCTGCGAACAACTTTGCAGGTCAAACCATCAGAACTTATTTTTAGCATTTTTAAGATTATTATATCAGTCCAATATAAACTCTTAGAATGTCTTTTTAGGACTACATGTCCTTGAGAAGGAAAATGTACAAAACTTAAACATTGTTGAATTAAAGCCAAAAGTTTGTATTATTTAGTACCCTTAAACAAGTTTGAATTAAGTCCCTATTATATAAGCTCTGCCTGCAGAGCCTACCGGATATAATGTCACATTTTCAATGTATTTAGATTAACTAAACAAGTATATTTTACATACCAACCTACTTTTACAAGTGGCACACAACTGGGTATTTAGAGTTGATAACTAAACCCATCACAAATAGAACTAATATTTAACTTAAAAAGAACAACTTTCTCATCATTACTAGGGTATAATATGCATTCTATTTTTGACTTACAACTTTCCTATCAATCATGTTGTAAACTACTGAATAGACAGATTTTAGACAGAAAAGGAGAGTAAGATAAACACATTATTTGTAAAAAATAAAACAAAAATATTAACCAGTTGGTCTTTCCTATCCAAGTTTAAAAAGTTGGGAATATTCCACAAAATTCTCTTATTATTTCACCTAAGGGACAATACATGAGTACTTGATCTATTTCACTATGTTTTTCCTACTACCCATATGAAATTAAAAGAATCATTTGAGAAACTGAACATCTGTGGATTATATTGTAAAGGGACTGCCTTACTTATTAAAGACTGATTCTTTTACAGGATAGCTAACGTAACTGGACTAAATTAATAATTGCAATGTCTCATCTTTTTATCTTTTAGAAAGCTTGGGATAGATTATTTTAGTATTTTGGTTATGACTTCTTTGGCAAAATTTAAGATGCATCATCCTCCAAACCAAAATATCTTTATTAATTAACTATTAGAAAAATATAAGAACATAGCCTGCTTTTTCAGGTTGTCTCAAATGTTTTGTAAAGAACATATTCAATTTAACTAGCATGTTTGTTTGCAAGGATAGCTATTTTGGGTCAACTGTATAATATTTTATTAGAGGACATTCCATATTGAATATTTAATATTTTATTAAATTAATTTATTAAAGGACAGTCCGTATTGAATTTATTTTTTAAATAAATTTATTTTGCCATACACCATACTTTGAATAGATTACAACAAAGAAATGTATACCTTTAATTACATTTTGAAATTTGACTACTTGGGCTATTTATTACACCTATACTTTGTTATTGAAATATGTCATAATTCTATATTATCTGTATTTCTTATAATTTCAGTTTTATACTTAGCAAAGTGTGATTTTTCAACCATGTGAATAGTTTAAAATGAGAACAATATTTTAATTTAATCTTACACAAATATTGTAAAAAAAATAAAATGAAACTATAAGCCAAAATTATCCCCACCCTCTCTCAGCAACTTGGGATTTATACCAAACGTGAAAAATTTGAGTTAATTGGATTTATACTTATGCAGTATGTAAACTCTATACACAGAATGTTTAGATTGTCTGAAGTATTCTTAGAATGCTAAATTAATTTTGAGGCAGAAGAACCAACGTTAAATTACATCTGTCCAATAGATGACCAATAATACTCTTTATTCTTTAATCTGTCTTTTTTGTCTTTAAGTATACATTCCGTAAACTAAACATATCCTGTTTAGTGGCCCTTATTCACAAAGACACTAGATTATGAAGTTTTACAAGGGCACACTGCAGGAAAATCGTATTTAAGATAAACCTAGCCAGACACATATATTTTTTTATATTTAAAAAATATATGTATATTTAATCCAACATGAAAAATTTTTAAATCTAGCCTGTATCACTGTGAGGAATAAGTTCCATGTTAATTCTACAGAACACTATTTTTATCCTTTTGTACCCAAAGGCATACAGCTTGATATATGAGTTTGCCTCATACTTATTGCTTACGTGTCACCTTTAATTAGACTGGAAAATCACGCGTCTACATGCTCTAGGTCAGTCCATTTAACAAACACCAATCACCTGACCCACACTCTCTGACCATTGATTTTTCCCAAATTCTGCTTAGATTTGCCTTAAGGACATTTGGCATACTCATTTGTCAAAATTTTTTCCTTTTCTTCACTAGAAAATGGGTTTTTTCCTTATTTACAATTTATGTTTTTTAAAAATATTTTAAGCATGTATGCAAAGTCAGTTATATGTGATTATGAAAAACATGACACCACTAACATTGCCTTACACTTGGAATCAAAATAAGCGGACTTAGTTTACTTAGCTTTAATTTTCTCAATTCTAACATGTTAAAGAATAGCATATTACCTATATTTTATACCTTTTTTTAAACTTTTTCATTCTGTGTACAGATTCTTAGCAATTTCTTATGTTTACAGGTTCTTTACCAGTACACTTTATTTTATACAATATTTTTATTACATAAATAATATAATACTAATTAAAATTTTCCTGAATGAGATTAACATATGATGTGGAAGAAGAAAGAACTATCACTTTATAGTTTATATAGCTGGAAGCCATAACGTAAACTTTAAAATACTGAAGCACTTAGTTAGAAAATATAAAACTAATATAGCTCCACTTTTAAGACAGTCTTTCATTAACTAAATAATAAAAATGAATACTTATATAGCAATTTACTATAGACAAAGTACCTTCAAATATATCTGAATCATGAATTATCTGTAAACTTAGAAATGGTTTTGTTGACAGAATCTCAAGAGAGACACAAGAAAAATTTTTAAATCAACAGATAATAATCACACACTAAGAATATTTTATACCTAGAACTGTTTGAAATGTTAACATTTCTATCAAAACTTGGAACAAAAATTAATAACTTAAGACATTTTCAAAAATGACTATCCACAAACTTAGCTCTAATTTATGTTCATTTCTGCTTAAAAATAACTCCCATATAATTATCATTATAATGAATATTGACTTTATTACTAATACAACAAATGATTTTTTTAATTAAGTAGTACCCAAAGGAGCTAGAGAATTCCTGAAAATTAATACAATTGTAGCAGTTAAAAAAAAAGTCAGATCTTTAACCTCCTTATGAAATCAAGTTCTAAAGTAAAGTAATTAGATGCCAAAAAGAGGAAACGTAATCATGTCACTTGTTAGCTGAATTAATGGCAAATATATATGAATTAAAATAATTAATGAAACAGATATCCTCCTAACACAAAAACTCCTTGTTTTCAATTTCAGTAGTTTGTTCAGTATACACTTGTACTCAGAAAGAGGACTTTCAAAATTAAAATATACTCAACTTGATATAATAAAAATATCATACAAAGCAGATTGAATATTTTATTACTGCTGTGCAAAATTTTATATAGAAACTATTCCTATATGTCTTACATAATCTATAACCATTATCTTAACATGTAAATTTTGAGCAGTAGTAAATTAGCATGTAAAAATAAGGAGGTATGTGAAACATGTTTCCCTCAAGAGTGAAAATGCAATCTAAATGTTCTATTGACTGATCATATTTTAGTGATTTTTAAATTAATACACAGTTGATTATATTTTTACTTTGTTATACAGCATTTTGGCAGGGGAGCTCTGTACAACTGTTTAATTATAGTGTTAGGTAAGATCACCAAATCTCAATCTTATTGCATAAAATAACAGATCCAGCTGGGTTGGTTTGTAAATTCAGTGGATTGGAGACTAACATGATTTGCCACCAAGGTAAGGATTCATGGAGTTATATTCACAGGATATATGCATTACCTGATAGCAGGAGACATTCACAACCCAGAATATAAGAGCAGGGCAGTCTCAAGTGACATCACCAGATCATCTGCAGCGTCAGCCAACCGACTCAAATATATATCCTCCACACCACCGCTCCCCTCTTTCTAACTGTTAGCAAACCTTCCATTGCCTTTACCAGTGTAAGAGAGCATGTGTCTTCTTTAAAAGCAAGACATATGCTTACTCAAGTGAAAAGCAAATAAAAACCAAGGAACAGAAATCAAAAACTAGATTGAGTACAATTTTCACTAACTTGATATTCAGGTTGTAGAAATAATACTGAAATGTTAAAGGAGAAAGTAACTTCAATTAATTTCAAGAAAAAAGAAAGACGGAAGAAGGGAGTGAGGGAGGCGGAAAAGAAAGAGGGAGGGAGGGAGGAAGGAAGGAAGAGAAAGAAAGACCAGCTAAATATCCCTGAGACTAAATCTTACTTTTAACTGATTTGCTCTGTAACCAGCAAACTGTGGAGGTCTTGAATGTCTTTCTTAAAAATATAATAATAATAATAGTAATAATAATAGTATAGAGGAAGGGGACTCTATTGCCCCATTTTAATTCTCTTCTCATTTACCTACAACTTATGTTTTACTTACAAGCATTTGTTACAGCGAAACTGTTGGCTGTCTCAATGTTGTCCACATGAGGTACCAAATTAAAGGGAGCTTCTGACGCATTGGGGCTGGTGTTATGAAGAAAAATTGCTAATCGAAAAGCAGTGTATTCCTGATCTGTGTTTCGGATGAAGAGACCACCTATTAAAAACAGCAGAAAAAGCACATTCAGTCTCCTCTTGTAAATGTTACTATACCCACCCCAAGAACTGTCAAATTCACTGCCATTCACCAACACATACAATTAAGGAGCTATTCCTGCCACATCTTGGGAGACTGCCCTTTGTCCCTAAGGTGTATGCTTAATATTTTAGTCTTTAAGGCAGCTCAGCCTTTTCCTGTCCCAATTTGTCATGATCACCGTGACCTCTGAGACAGATCATTTAGTGTGCTTTCCTTTCTCTCTCTTGCACTCCCCATGATTCTCAGCACAATGCTACAGAAGCCAGCTCCAGGGCATTTCTAAGATGCATGCAGATGGGAAGAAAAGATAATTTGCATTAAAATACAGAAATCAAGGGATGTGGTGAAGTGCAGGTTAGAGGGAAATCAGAAAGGAGACATGAACTTTGTCTTTATGCAGCTCTTGGACTCAGCCTAATTAGCACCGTTTTGTGCACTGTCTACGAGAAATGATGCAGTCTGAGGCTGGGCTTAGCTGGAAGAAATTCAATTGCTGCGTCCCATTAAAAGACAGGAGAGAATAGCAAGAAAAGCGAAGGACGGATAGGGTCCCTGGAAATAGAGTCGAGAGGGAGGATTAAGGGCAAAAGATTCAAGAGGAAAACAAAAGAAGAAAAGGTTCCGGGAAAGGGATCTAACTTTGGAATCCGTTAACTGGTAGCAAGCAAAGACAAGGAGGTGTGGGTGTAAATGCTTTTTTGCACAGTGTCTTTCTGTAATAGAGAAAGCTGCTTCGTACAGCACGGGAAGAAGGGGGGGGGGGTGTTTTGTTTTGTTTTGTTTAAACAAACTCTACATCCCTGCATGCTTTAGAGAAAGAAATGAAAAGAAATATCAGATAAAATGCTACCAAACCCCACGGAGGTTTTTTTCCCCCAACTTATTGCAATCCTACTTAAGCGACATGATCCAAAGGTGGAAACAGGAGTATAGACTGAGGATGGACGGGTGGGCAGCTCTGTGCTGTTCTAACTGAACCTGCACCAAAGAGGCAGTCTTTTTATAAAGGGGAGAAAGGAAGAGGGAAGCAGAGGGGAAAGGAGCCGCCGAAGGTTCCCCTAAATTGCTTATCAGTAACTCATTTGATTCACTTTCGGATATCTGCTACAGCCACCCACACGCATACCCCACCGGAGCAAAGCTTACCTATTTGCACGCTGCTCGGAAAGGCTCCCATGGCGAGTCCCCAAAATCCAGAAAATAACAAGACTATCTGTTTGCAAATAATCCTCATCTTCTTTTCTCCTCTCCCTGGCGCGCTCTCTCTTTCTCTCGCACTCTTCCTAAAGGCTGTTCAGAGAGACATTGAGGACTATGGCGCTAAAATTAAAAACAACCAAAAAAGAAAAAAAAAAAAAAAAAACAGAGGAGAGAGGTTTGGGTGGTTTGGGGTTATGACTATTTCCCTTTAGCAATCCATCCCGAGCTGCCAGATTTTTCCCGCAGTCTCCATAGCCCTGGGAGAGGTTTTCTGTCCGGCTGCAAATGTTACACATGCAAAAGATGGTGGTGGAGCGGCTACTGGCTGCTCGCAGAGATGAGACATGCGCTCTCTCTGTGCCTAGCTCGCACTAGCTCTCGGCCCTCGCTTTCTCACCTACACACACACACTAGCGCCGCGGCCGCCGCACGCGCTCTGCTGCTCCTTTCAGCCAACAGCCACCTAAAGCCTACACCAGCCCGGAGCCTCGCGCCCCCTCCGCGAGCGCGCAGCACTCCCTCCGCACGCCCCTCGCCCACTACTCGGCAGGCTTCATCCCTTGGGTGCTCACCCGAGCGCCTCAGTCTCTTCGACGCTCCAGAGCCAATCTGGAGACAGGTTTTTCCTTTTCACGACTCCCGCCTCTCTTCTTCCCGCGTTCGCAGTGGGTCCTACTCTGGGGATGGGCACCCCCAGCGTCCCTCTCTGCTTTCCGGGCGCCTCTGCTTCGCGGCTGCACTTGGCAGGAAATTCACCCGCGGGCCAGGTCCTCAAGCCCCGAACAGGGCCTCGGGGGGTTAGTACTTCCCCATGCCCCCGGCCCCCTGCCGCATTCTTGCAGGCTCTCGGGGAGGACCGGCTGCCTCCCTCTCCTTCAGCTCAGCCTTTCTCTCAGCCTCGCCCTCTTCTGCCACTGGGCTGCGCGCGGGGGACTCCGGTCCTCGCTGCAGCAAAGATTTCTCACCAGCAAACAGCCCGGGAATCTGGAGAGCCTGAGACGGGAATGGACGAGATGAAGGGGCTCAAGAGAGAGAGAGAGGAGGATGAGAAAAGGGGGCAAAGGGCAGCCTCAGGCAGGTTTAAGAAGCTGGAACCAAGGAGGAAAGAATTGATGGAGTTCAGGCTGGAGAAGAGACACAGAGAGGTCAAACCATTTTAGGAAAGAGAGGAAGGAAGAAAAAGTTAATTTAAATAACAAAATAGGGTGATGAACGGGGTGGGGAAGAGACTGAGAGGTGAAAACTGAATAGGGGGTCTACTTGTTCTTTGAAAGGCTTGGAACTAGGAGTAGGAAAGGTAATTAAAGAGTTCTTTCTCTCCAGTCACCTTTTCAAGAGACACTTTGCCTCTGTGCTAGACACACTTCAGGAGTAGCAAGAACATAGTTCAGGGGCTGATGAAGAAGAATGGGAAGGGCAGTGCTTGGAGCAGTGGGCACAAGTTGGTATTTGTGCCTGATAGAAAAATGGGGTATTTTACATGCACATAGTTTCTTAGCTGGAGCTCCAGAATACTCACTCTACTCCATGTCACTCCAAGAATACTTAAGCACTGCCTTGATGATGTCAATAGTTGTTTTAAATGGGTAGAAGAAATTTATTATTCTAGAAAGTTTTAGAGCTATGGTGTCATTGCCTCTCCAAGGGTCACCTTTAAGACTTCATTTCACTTGGCTGTATTGGATGGAGTCTGTACCACACCCAGAGAGAGTGACTGCAGTAGCAGTGAATGAAAGGTTTCTGATTTCCTCTTTATGGTTTGAGGTCTTCTGACCTAGACAGTATATCTAATCCCCTAATTCCATTAAAATGTAAGAGGAAATGTGTTTTAAATCTTTACAGTTCTTTGGGTGCCATTGGTTGAATCATATTATTTTAGAGCCTGGAAGGCTGGATCACATCAGCTAAAGCCAAGCTTTTGATGAATTATTAGAGGGAGGGATTCTCCTTAAAGGTTAACTGTAAGAAATTTTAGAAATCTTCTGGTATCATACCTTCATATTAGTGTCTTCTACACCTAAAGTACTGTCTTCCATTACATTTTACAAAAGAATATAGTAAGTGCCTATGCTTATCTGATGTAACATTTGGGAAAAGAGGAGAAAGAATTGATCAGTGTGGCCCACCCGGTAAAGACTTCTTGAAATATGTACTGCCTTTACTCCTTCAAGTCTCCTTTCATTAGATATCACTAATTGCCTACAGTTGGAATTTGAGGATGACATTTAATAATCCTCAATTAATCCTCTGTTAAATCTTCAGAGTGCTTTTCTTCAGAGTGCTTCTCTAAGTTCTGAATTTTGCTTTTAAAGTCACATCTTTTTGTTGTTGCTGTTATTTATCCACTTTTCTGTTACATTTCACAACAGATTGTTATGACAAAAAACATCTTAATTGTGAGTAATTGGATACCACAAATCATACATTTGTCATTTCAGTTTATAAGGCTTTAGTCTTACAAGTCAAGTGGGATTTGAAATGTTTTCTTTTTTGTCTTTTCTGTCAATGTAAAAACCAAGCTGTAATAATATTATTCTGTTTCTCTTATAAGAAGATAATAAAATAAGCCACATAAAATTCAAGTTGAATTTAACTGAAATTAAAATTTCAAAACCCACCAAATCATTAAATTCATAACCTAGTTGGGCAACTAGTCTAGCTCCCCCTAATGCACAGAGGCAATAATTAACTTTTGTTCTTCTCAAAATCAAAAGATTTGAGGTTTCAAATAATGTAATGCCACCATCACTATAGGTGCAGGACAAGTTTTATGTTTTTATTTTTTAACAGAATCTAATTTTTATTTAAATGGAATGGCATTACTTTCATATAGAGTATTAATCAAAGTTAACCAATTCTTATCTTGTTCATCTAAATTTCTACATGTAGTACGGTCATTTTATTTTTCATCTAACCACAATAATGACACCTTGACTAATATGACCACAGATGACACAACTATAGTTTTCCAAAATAGTAATCTGGTTTTTTTTAATTTCTATTTTTCCAGTTAATTAAAACCTCCATTTTACTTTATGCATCTAAATTATCTTTCTCTGTAGGATATCTCTATTTATCTCTCTATATATCTATATCTACAGGGATATACTTATAGATATATCCTCATGTCATGCTTGTCTTTAAGATGTACCAAAATGGAACAAGTTTTAGAGTTGACTCGGAAGGAAGGCAAGTGGAGGCTGTGGCAGACGTTGTGCATTCATATATAATAGAAATTATAATCAACAACACTGAAGACAAAACAGTGAAGAATAAAAATGTAGCTAGTAATGGTACAGCTAACACCTGCACTTTTAATCTTGAGTTTCTGATCCTCCAGTCATATGTATAAATATGACTCATGATACACTTCTTATTATCCTAAGTATGAATTTACATATAGAAAACAATTACTTGAGACTCTCTTTGGAGCACTTGTAAAGGCAGAGGTAAGATCCTGCTATATCTCTGCAAAAAATTTGAAGGATTATTACCAGCTGAGAAAACCAAAGATACATATGTTTGATCTTATTGCTTTTGTGTTATTCTAAGTAAATATTTTCACAGTTTTCTGAAATTCAACTTACTAATATATTAAAAGAAGGTATCATACTAGAAGGTTTCTAAACTTTCTTATAGTTACCCAAATCTCTGATCCTATGAAGTAAATTCAGCCAGCATTTGGGCAGTTCTGCTATGGGAAAGGCCCGATGCTGTGGGCAATCCACAGATGAACATGCCACAGCCTCATACACAAAACATTCACATGGTGTGGCAGGGAAGGCTTTGTGGAGAATTTTCTGTGAGAAGAGATAGATATTGATAGATAGGTATAGCTCTCTAAGTAGAAAAATGGTGTCCAAGGGCCTGATGATATAAAGCACATGCTGCTGAGCTGTTTTGGAGTATAAACTTGGGGTCGTAGAGGATGATAAGAACAGAAAGTTAGGTTAGACTGTCAATGGAGCATACTGAATGAAGTGCTTGGGATACTGAACCTTATTCTGTGAGGAGGTATCTGGTATGTGTATACAGAGAAAGGGAACATTGGTGATAGTGAGGTGGTTTGGTGATGTAGACCAGGAAAGGCAGGAGCTGAGACTAGTTTATAGACTGCCTTTCAGAAAATCATGTGAGGTGGGACAAAGATCTGGAGTAGAACCATAGAAAAGCAACAGGATAAGGGAAATAGGAAAGTTATTGCTGAGATAAAACTGACAGGGCACACTCATCACCTGGTGGGGAATCATGGGTGTGCCATATATTTAAGAGTTAGGATCAAAGGTAACCTAAAGTTTGAAACCTGAGTGTTCTAAAAAGAAGCTGTGGTAATCAGCAGGTTGGTGATATCTTCAATTGGGAAAAGAAATTTAGGAGAAAGGGCAAGTTTGCTGGGAAATAGGCTTTTCATCAAATTATTCACACTCAGATAGTTATATTTTGAGCACCTACCATGTCTAAGTGCTTGAGATATAGTGGTGAACAAAACAAAATTCTGGCTATTACTGGAAGATTCCTAATATCTGTGAACCTTCACTATTTTGCTAAGGCCTTTCATATATCATTTGATCTACAGAAAAATTTAGATATCATTAAATTGATTAGGAAACCCATCTAAAGGTTAAAATTCTTACATAAATTTATATTCTTAGTAACTGATAAAACCAAGAGCTAGGGATAAAACTCAGGTCTGTCTGATTTCAGAGACCATGCTGTCCTCATTAAAGCCTGCTGAGTTAATGAGCTCAAGGTGCAAAGAGGGGTCTGGAAGATTAAAAAGTAAACTGGAAGAATCCACAATATTTAGAAAAGTAGTATGGTCTTCGAAGACCTCAGGTTTTTACAGTAAAATAAGTGAGTTCAGATTATAGACCCCTAGTGCCTTGGTTACATTAGCATGGATACATTACTTAACCTTTCTATTCTGGTAGAACATATGTAAATTTTCAGCACAGTTCTGGCACATCATAGGCAGTTCTTATTAATAAAGAGTTGCCAAAAATGTGATCAAGGTTCCAATAGAAGGAGGCACAGGGTACCACGTGAGCAAAATAGGAAGTCTAATTCTGATTTTGAGGGAACCCAGGAAGAACTCACAAAGAGAATTTGAACTGAATTTTTATGGGTGTGTTTTATGGATTAGGTAAAGAGAAAAAATTATGTGCATTACATCAGTGGGCATATGCCTTTCTGTAAGCTACTAGAAGTTTGGTAAAACT